GACATGAGTCAATTTCATAGTTAAGATATAATTCTCCTATTCCCCTAATTATTTAAGATGTTGACATTTTCCACTTAGATGTTGAGTGATAGACTTGTTGATTTTTATCCAAGCAAAAATTATTCATCTTAAGGTGATGCAAATGTTGTTTCCTTATACTTGTGGGCGACTAGTCGTAGTTTTCTCCTTAAAATGAAGGCTTCTCTTTTCATTTAAAATCAACCAAAATAAACAAATTTTGTTATTTGTACCACGAATTACAGGGTTTTGATCCTATATTGCCCTTTGTGGATACGTAGGCACGAGGCTCATGAAGTCTCTTCAAACACAAAAATCTTAAAAAATAATTTTTTTTCTCATCTCCCCAATTTCATTTCGAACAAACCTTTTCAAACCAAAAAACGTAGATATTTCAAAGGGTTCCTATAAAGTACTATAGATGTTTTTGGTGCTAACACCTTCCCTTAGCATAACCAACCCCCTTAACTAATCTATGTTTATTTGTTCTTGTTTTAAAATTTGTTTAGGTTTTGTTTGCGCTTTTTCCTTTCCTTTTGGATAAATTAAAAGTGGGGTGGCGACTCTTACTTTATGAGTTAAGTTAATCAATAGCTTACACTCACAATTTTAGCGCTACACACACACTACATTCATATCAGCTCAAGAGAAGTTAATCTGTTAAAGAGTTCTTATTCTTGTATACCTTAAGAGTTAATCCTTTGTATAAAAGCGTGTTGTATTATATTTGAACAATTTTGATTGTTAATTGTCACACCCTCATTTTCGCCTTTAGCCTTTATACCATACCTTCGGCATACCATACATCGTTCTATCGCATATCGAGCATGTGGGTTCATCAGGTATAGATTGGGTCAATTTGTTATTTTCCATTTCAAATGAGATAACTTGTCTATCTTGGGCTACATGGAAGAAAAGGTTCATTATCTAAGGTTTGATCTAAGTTGGAAAATCTATTCATGTAAATTACTTCAAAAAGAAGTTACTTGAAAAATATTAGGATATTCAAGATAAATATTCATGATGAACATGAAATGCAAGGCCAAATTCAAGTTTGCTTCATCCAATTATGTTTCAAATTCTTGATCAAGTGGAGTCCAAATTTTCAAAGCATGAGTCAAGATCACAAGTCCATGATTCAAGACTTCACCCATTTCAAGTTTAATGGTTCTAGAGAAATCCATCATGAATTCAGGAATTAGAAGCAAGAATATTACAAAGAGAAATTTTATGACATTACAAGAATGGCATTTGTTGCAAGATTTCCAACTCTAAGTAATGTTTAAAAATTAATTTATTTCTAATCTTCATTCAAGTCTCTAATCAAACTCATGTTATGGTAATGTCACACCAAGTCCGCATTTTGCTTACAAACATCCAAGAAATATGCAAGAATTAAGTCAACATTGGAATGTTTTAAGACCAAGAATATGCATGTTTAATCATGGGCAAAACAACCCCATGCAAGAGGTGGCAAATTACTTCATGTCACAAAATTTACATGTCACAAAATCAAGAGAATAGCATGATAATACATCTAAATATCAGATTTTCAAAATGCTGTCAAAAAGTAGTATCATTGACCAAGAGGAGCTGTCCAAGCACAAGCCAACAAAATGGATGCAAGGCACAAAGTGCTGCAGAAAAAAAAATAGCATAGGCAAAGTGCAACAGCAAAAATGTAGCATTGCCTCTTGCATGGAAATGGAAAGAAAGAGAGTGACATGAGGAAAGGTGGTAAGAGACATTACTCCATGAAAAATCTGATATGTGGGGAGAAGAGAAAACCCTAGAGTTGAGAGATAAGAAGGAGGGGGCTGTAAACAAAATTCATTCATTCAACATCCATACACATTGCAAAAAAAACCAGAAAATAGAGAGCAAGAGAAACCCTAAAAACCAGAAAAATAGAAAGGAAGAAAAACCAGAAAAAAGAGAGTGAGATAGAAGCACAAGAAGATCATTGAGAAGCAGAACCTTCACAACATAGAGTGAAGAGTGGAGAGCACATCCAACAAAAATCAATGGAGGACTTGCAAGAAGGATAGAAAGCTCTTGGGTATCCATTTCATCAAACCTTTCTCTCTTTACTGCTTTTATATTCGTTTTACTTCCTCTATTATGTGTTGTTGTACTGAGTATATCATGTAAGGTCCTAAGAAAAAACAAGAAACCATTTTTAAGAACCATAAAAACGAAAGATAAACAAGAAAAGTTGATTTTTTTTCCCTGCTAGCCTGACATGGGCCGTGTCGTGCGACACGACCGACCGTGTTGCGCCACTGTTCGAAATTTCATGGCATAAAGGCCCAGACCTCATGACACGGGTCGTGTCACACAACACGGCCACCCGTGTCACATCTTTGTCAAGTTTCAAAAATTATTTTTTGGCCCAGACCTCATGACACGGGCCGTGTCACATAACACGGTCACCCGTGTCACATCTCTGTCAAGCCTCAAAACTCATATTGCAGGTACCTTATGACATGGGCCGTGTCACACAACACGACCACCCGTGTTACACCACTGTTTTTTTTTTACTTTTTTTCGATATTTTACCTCCAAAAAAAATTTTCTCAAGGAGTTCGCACGACGAACTCCTTGATGGCACTTCGTGCCGTTTTTTTTTGCATGTCTCGATTTTTTTTTACTAACACCATATGTTTGTATGATTTTAGTGCGAATATTGCTATTGTCCTTGGTGACTTTTGATTCCAAAAACCATTTTTAAAAAACAAACTCTCGATTTTATCGAGCCATTTTTAACCTTGTAAGTCGATGGCCTTGCGCATCGCCATCGACCTTGTCCGTATCGCTTCAAATATACCTTTACAAACAATAAAACTTGATCCAACATCAAGTGGTCTTTTTTCTCATAAAAAACCCCCCCCCAAAATACAATAAATATATGGTTAGGGTTGCACATCATGGATTTTAAGGTGGTGGAGAAGGAATGAGAATGGAATCCTCCTACACTCATTCTGAATGTTTCGGATACAAGGCGCTCAACTTGGTTATTCGAAACATTCATCTCTATCCAAAGTCCTTTTGTGTAATCCCAATCAAGAATTATGTCTCTTAAAAAAAAACCTAAAAATAACATCAACTCATCAAACTATTTTTCTCCTTAGGGCATCAATCAAAAAATCCTTTTTCAAGGTATAAAATCAACCAACAAACAACTATTTCGTAAGCCTCCAAACTACGGAGCTCTGATTCTTCGCTTCTTTTAAGTGAGGATACGTAGGCACAAGGGCCACAATCCTTGGCGAGCACTAAAATAAATAAACCAACTCCTCTTTTCCTTAAGCAAGCAAACTCTTAATAAAACACCCATTCACGCGAAATAACCTAGGAGGTTCCCATCGAGTACGATGGATGCGAGGGGGTGCTAACACCTTCCCCTCGCATAACCGACTCCCGAATCCTAAGACTTGGTTGCGATGACCACGCTCTTTTTCCCAAAGGTTTTATCGCTATTTCCCCCTTCCCTCCTTGGAATAAATAAAATTTGGTGGCGACTCTGTATCATTTTTTCGCGTAGCGACATTAATCAAGTGTTGTTGTAAGTTATTCCTTCTCTAAATAGTTAGATAAAAGTCTCTTACCTTGTACTTGAGCAATGAAGTCTTGGATTGTGAATAAATGAGCAAAGAAGTCTTAAATGGTGCGACTGAGCAGAGAAGTCTTAGGCAGAATGTCTAAGCAGTGAAGTCTTGAATCATAAGGATTTAAGTAAGGAAAGTCTTAGGATCTAAGGATCTATGCATAGAAGTCTTGATCAAATGCTGATTAAGGAAGGAAGTCTTAAGTTGTAGGCGTGAGCAGAGAAAGGCTTATACTGGTGAGTATAAGCAGTTGTAATCAGTTTGATTATAGTGGAAATCTCTTGTGTGGCAAGGGAACTAGAGTACTCTCAGTTAGAGAGGAACTAGAATAACTGTTGTGTGTTCTTTGTTGTTTTTATTTGCTTCTGTTATATTTTCCACTGCACCCATTATCAGATTCTGAACTATGGTTCAGAAATAAAAAGAATTTTACAAACACAATTCAACTCCCTTTTTTATGTATTTTCTCACTTTCAGAGTCGGTTTCCCATTTCCTTGTCACTTGCAACATAGCTTCGCCTGTGTAATAAATGATTTTAAGTGGGATGGACAATGGTTAAGAATTGTAGACTTTTTTTTGAGTTGTTATCTCTTTGAGGTAGGGCGAGGGTTAAGGTAGGATTGCAATGATTTGGCATTCTATTGTTTGTATTATTTAAAGTGTTCAAAATGATATTATTTTCTCCGATTCATCAATAAACGGGAAAGTTGTGGAAGAAAAGAGCAGATTCCTTATTTGAAAATGATATGTTGCTTGGAAATGCTATATGGTTTACAACCCTATCACATCTATCTTAATTAATAACGGTTTGATAGTTTTTTATTTGGTTCTGAGGTTGGAGTGGATATCGTGCTTCTCCTGGAGATCTTATTCTGTTGATGATGGTCTTGCTGACTTCAGCTGTAGCATGTACCCCTTTAGAGGTGTAGTTTTTTATTGCTTGAATTTTTTCTCTAGAGTTGTTTTTCTGCTTGTTTTGTGGTGTTTTCAGCTAGTCACAATGCTAACCGAAACTACAAATTTTGTACTTAGTTAGACGTTCTATCCCCCTCCTTTTATATATATATTATTTTGCTATTAAGGGTTTAAGCATATACCCTTCACTTCCTCATTATTTAAATTATCGGATGAAATCCAATAGAAAAGCTTCGTAGTTCACTTTTTTTTAATCTTCATCCTTCAAACCATTTTAGCTTTAAATTCGTCGACCAAGACAACTATATATAGAATTTTTTAATCTTTTTTCAATCTCAATTTCATCAAATTAAGCATATGCTCGTTGATATTCTGTCAAAACTTGGCCAATAAGAAACCTCTTTATCTACACATCAAAATAAGGATCAAAATTGATAGCAGTAATCTGAGTGAAAACTATGAAGTTTGCAAAGCTATACATTGATGTTATTAAAGAGAAGCAGCCAGGATGGAGTGACAAGTTCTTGTCCTACAAAGAATTGAAAAGGCTTTTAAGGCTGATACCTGATGGAAATGCAGAAGCTGAGTTCATGTGTTTGTTGAACAATGAAATCGACAAGTTCAACGACTTTTTCATCGAAAAAGAGGAGGAATACATTATCCGGCTCAAGGCTATAGATTACTTTGAAATGTTTTTTTTTCTAATTTTATTTTGTTATTTTAGAATACCAATAAAATTTGTAAACTTAAGCTGTTGGAGTGCAGGAGTTTGAGCAGAATATTAAGAAAACAATCGATTTATACAAAACAAATGGAAGCCAGCAATCAGAAAGTGATTATAAGAACATGATGAATATGTTAATAAAAAATATTGTTAATTTACATGGTGAAATGGTTCTTTTAATTAACTACTGTAACATCAATTACACAGGTACTTTTTTCTTGATTGTCATTGCCACATAAAACTTGTTCAGAAGACTAAAAGTCTCTGAACTTGTTCTTAAAGCTTATACATGCTTTGAGTTTTGCAGGGTTGGGTAAAATTCTTGAGAAATATGACAGTAAGACTGGCGCACTCAAGCGCGTGCCGTTTCTTCAGAAAGTTCTTGAGCATCCGTTTTTAAGCACAGATGTAATTTCAAAACTCGTGAGAGAATGCGAAAATATAATAGAGAATGTATCTCATGCTGATGAAGCAGTTGAAAGAGCAAAGGAAGAAGTTGTATTACATAGCGAAGGATTGTTCAAAAGCACAGTTGAAGTTTTATTCACAACAACAGAGAATGTGATGGTCATTGAAGACGGCAATGCTTCTGCTTCTGCGTCAAATTAGCATGTTTTTTTGGTTTTGAACACGCTCGGTGACTTGACGAAGATTTATTCAGGGTAGAAGGCTTGAAGTGTGTTTTCTTGTTTACTGTCATGATGAGTGTATTTTACCTGGATGTGTTTTTTGTTTCTGTATTGCTCAAAGAAGGTATTGAATCGTCAATCGTACACTGTGATTACATTCCATTTTTTTATTTTTTCAAATTATTATCAGTGTGGATGTGTCACTATTGGTGTCGTGTCTGGTACTCGTGCTTTATAGAAAACATCTAGCAAATTGTTAGCTCCCATTCAAAACCTAATAATGAAGAAGAGACAAGTTCTATTAACATAATTAAATACATAATCTCAATGTAGCTAAAACCTAATGGGAAAATCACATAGAAAAGTAATTACCCTCTCTACAAAATCTCATAGCAATCCAGAACTTAAGTCAAGAATATGCATTGCTTCCCAAGAAGAATCAAATTATACAAAAAAAAGAAGAAAAAAAACCTAAGTGGCAAAACAACAACCTTTTTTTGCTCCATTCATTTCATTATTAGGAACAATTATCCTACTTCCCTTCATAAGTCCTGCAGTATTTTGATCGGGTTCACCATTGGAACTGAGTGTTTTCTTTGCATTGATTCTGTATATCTCGGTTAATATAGTTAAAAAACAAGTTTCAACGTTGGTCGATTCAAGTGCTGAGGTTTCCATAAAGAAGAGGTTCTCTCTTTGTGCAAACTCCTCAGCGTCTTCTGTTGGAACTGCTCTAAGACTAGAAAGATCACATTTGTTGCCGATTAGCATGACGATAATGTTTTTGTCGGCATGACCTCTTAACTCTTCCAACCATCTTGCCAAGTGATCGAACGATTGGCGCTTTGTCATGTCATATACTATCATTGCCCCAACTGCGCCTCGATAGTATGCACTAGTAACTGCCCTGTACCTGAAGTCAGTGCAATGAATGACATCTAACAGTTATCGGTGTAAGATCATTTTCAATATCGAAATTCTAAATGCAAATATTGGTTACATGATCATGAAACTGATTTTATTAATCTGTTCATGAAAACAGAATCATACAAGTATGCTTGAATGTTCAATACAATAAGTACACAGGCTATTTTACCTATTACTACTATCACACACTACAAAATACTTGTTAACAGAAATGGAAAAAGCTTTACATGATCAATATGTAAAACAAACATCATAAGTTTATCCTCTCAGCTTTAACCTACCAAGAAAACATCACCATTTTGACAGTTTAATTAACATTTCCGGACATCATCGTATTATTCCTGCATATCATCATATGCATAAATCTTATTTGATCATCAATTTGAGACACTTAAATTTAACATATTTGAAATAGATAATGCAGTTCAAAAATATGGTTAACAAAGTTCAATGAGTGATCAATCATAATGAATCATATATTCAATTAATAAGGATTACACCAAAATGGAAGGAAAGCACGCAACATGAGGCGCCGCTACGCTTTTTAGATGATAAAATCATTTCTCTTAATGATTACATTTATAGACATAGAACACACAACATTGTTATGAGCTTCTGGACACTTTGTAAAAGACCTATTGTCGGCCTCTGATGTTAGGAAGCCAAAAGCTTCAAATGTAAATTTATATAGAAGCATGAGTGTCACAGAAAACATTTTCTCATGTTTGGAACTATATAGCATAGACTCTACTCTCACACTAGAACACGACATGACTAAGACACTTCAACACCGATAATTCAAAAATATAGAACACCAACACCGCTACATATAGAAGACCGGCGTGTGTTGGACACCGCGACGCACATACTCCTAAAGGTGTCCGTGCTTCATCATGTTTCATAATGTTTGAACACTTAAAGAGGTTAATAAATATATTCATATTGGATAACTCATTAACAACTAACTAACCTTCATTAACCATGAGTTTCAAAGTTATTAACCATGATTTCATGTTTGTTCCAACTATGAACACTTGAAAAATCATAGTCAATGATATTGAATTTATGAAGCATAGACTCGGACGCGAACATCAGAATATGATATTGAATTTATGAAGCATAGACTCGGACGCGAATATCAGAATATGATACGATACGGACACTCCAACACCGATAATATAAAAATATAGGACATCTACACCGCTACACACATCATAGTATTTAAACTTCTTTTATCTATCTATTATTAAAAGAGATAATATTATTATAATCAAAATTAATATCTTTAATTTTTTTATTAATAATATTATTTCAATACATGTCCAAAAAAAAAAACTGTTTTTAAAAAACTTGTTTGAATTATCCATCAGGTGTTGAATGAATATCGCGCAAGGGTCGGACACCGATTTATAAAATATCGAAGTAAAAAAAAAACATTTTTGGAGAAGCTTGTTTGACTTTTCTTACTCGTATCGTACAAGTGTCGGATACTGACGCGTGTGGGACATCACGACACTCCCGTGTTTCGCAGTATTGAGGTACACTACATGTATGTCAAGTGGCAAAACCTGTATATTTCTTAATCAAAAACCTGTATATCTATTAATCAAACCTAACGGTTATGTAACTATTCTGAAATTGTAGATTTAGATTTTCCAAGTTAATGTTTAGATAACATTTCTTTATCATAAATCATAATCACCATACCCTAAAAAAGGGGGGAAATGGAAAGAAACAACCCCCTTTGAAGAATTGATCCAATAAGTCATAATTACAATATCAAAAACAAAAATTGGAACAGAATAGGATAATAATTATTATGTTTATAAAAATTCATACCTTTCTTGACCTGCAGTATCCCATATCTGAGCCTTAATAGTTTTATTATCAATAATCAAAGTTTTGGTCTGAAATTCCACCCCAATCGTCGCCTTAGAATCAAGGCTAAATTCGTTCCTTGCAAAACGAGCGAGTAGTTGAGTTTTTCCAACTGCGGAATCACCAATCAATACAACCTTGAAAACGTAATCGATCTTCAGGTTGTAGTCACCGTACAAATTCGACATTGTCACAATCTACTAACCAATTCAACATGCATCGAGTTATATAATTAATCTGTGTATGATCGTTGATGGTTGATTCGTTGTTTGATTGAATATGGAAAATGTGTGATCTGAGTAAGGTGTTAGATGGGTGAAAATGGAGATCGAAAATGAAATTGTGGTTTTTTCTTCGATCTGAGTGTATCTGGTTTTTCTTGCGTTACACGGAATAATTATCAATTATTATTATTATTATTAATATTATTATTATTAATATTATTATTATTATTATTATTTTTATTTAAGTTAGTATTTTTCCTATTCAGACAAAATTATTAAGACAATGTAATTATTTTAAAAACAAAAATCGGGTGCATTTCAATTGTTTTTGGTATTCTTCTATTAAAAATTAAAATTCAACTAGATTTAAACTTGTGGGATTGTAAATTAGCTTTTATATATTTTGTATTGAATTTTAATTATGTTAAAAAAAATAATAAATATGATCAATAAATTTAAGTTTTAATAATTTATTATGAATTATAATTAAGGCATAACAATAAAATCATAAAAAAGTACATTTCAATTAAAAAGAAAAAAATTGTAAGTTGAAAATGATATACAAAATTTAGATGCTTGTATGGTACTTATTTCTATTTTAGATATTTACTTATAAGTTATATAAATATGTATTTACTTTTAATTTTGAATAAAATTTAACACTTTTATTTATAATTATTATTAAAAAAAACATTTATTGCTTTAGGAATTTATGTTTGTATTGTCAAAAGAATTTTGTTATCTATGTCATCAATGACATTTAATATTTTAGAAATTAAGTGTCTGTTTGGTTCAAATGAGAGGGAGGGGAGACGAGGGGTAGATTTTAATGGAGGGAAGAGGAGTGGAAGAGAAGGGAGGAAATTTTTTAAATTATATATATGTTTGGTTTAAAGGAGGGGAAGAAAGATTTAATTAAAAGCATATTAGGTTCACAATTGCAGGGGAGAGATTTTTGTTGAATGTAATTCAACATTCAAGTTAGTTTATCTTTGAGTTTCATCTCCATTTAGTTTCGCATTTGAATTGAGCTTCATTTGAGTCTTTATATAAAACTTAAATGAAAGTGAATTTGTAATGAGTTTTAACGGTTTTTGAAAATAGAGAAAGTTAGTTAGAAAATTCGTTTTAATTCTCTCTCTCTCTCTCTCTCTCTCTCTCTCTCTGAATAATTTAAAAGGAAAGACTCACCAGTTTGATCCAATCCCAATGACTTACAGTCAATTGTGGTCTTATTTTGCTCGAAACTCGGTAATGACACCTAGAAAGACCAAACTCATGAAGTCTCGTCCTCACCGGTACAACCCAAATACCATTTGTGAGTTTTATGATGGAGTAATGAGGCATCTGATTGGGGAGTGCAAGGTTTTTTAGGAAAAGGTTTAAGAGATGATCGACGGTGAGATGTTGACCTTCAAGGGAGGAAGCCCATTTGTGAATGGAACGCCTTTATGCTGATAAATATAAAAATCAAGGAAGTTCCTATTGCCGATGTTAGTAGAGTGACCCGCAACGGTCGTGCATTTGCCTCTGTGTCTCCCAAGAAAGTTAAGGATGTTCTTTCCAGCTCAGATTGAGATAGTCTCCTCAAATCATTAGACTGCAATTTTATTTGTAATCTTTTATGATTGTTAATTCTTTGTTTGCACGTAGAAACTTGTTTGATTTTGAATAATAATCATAATGTAATGAGTATGTTTGTCTTGAAGTAATCCATTTGCATTCGCTCATAAATTATTTTTTTGCATTTGCAATACCAACTTCTTGCTTAAACTCTTGGAGGGAGGATCATGAAGTGAAAACGCAAAATTTTTGGTTGTATGCTTTTGAATAAAACTTTGCTGATGATGTAAGGCATTGTTTCAAATTTCCAAACACCTGAGATATAAGGAAGATAATCCCTTGTTAACCCCTTTGAGCCTTGAAGTAGGATTTTCTTTTCTAAATGAAA